AGTTCAGGCGACGATGAGTCAGAGCTCTCGGATGCTCCCCCAGAGGAAGATGAAAATGGCGATAGTAATAAGGCATCGGACAACGACGAGCCTCCAGAAGCGGAAGCGGATAAGCCCGAAGAAGCCCGATTCAACGGAAGAAGCCCAGCTCCGGCACTGAAGAACAGGGGTGCGTCTAAGCCAGCTGTCAAGGCTAGAGAACTTGCAGAGGTAAAACGACCAACAAGGTCGACGAGGCCACGACGAGGCAAGGGCACAGACGATATGGAAATTGACGCTGACGAGTAATCAAGGGGCCTAAGTACCGTGGTTGGGATTACAGGATGCAAATATATTGAAATCATGCCTCTTCTATTATTGTTGGGTCTGATCTTCTCTCTTATATAGATACAAGAGTGGTGACAAAGTTGATGAGATTCGGGGAGTCCATTTGACTTCTATCATACAGGGAAGGGAGTCTTTGGTTTGTGGTTAATTGTCTTGTCGTATACCCTCTCATACGGGACTCGAGCAATAGCATTTCGTTCTCATGGCATTTCAGTCTCGATTTGCAATTCGTGAGTGACCTTTCATGACGTATGTACCTAAAGGGCCAGTCATAGCTATACATGTCAAGCATGAGAAACATGCGCTCTGATATTGATATTGATATTTCATTCCATGTCCTAGCCCAATTGTACAGCGCCCAGTTCTCCCGTAGACTCCAAAATGAATAATAGACCAACCTGAAGAGGGGGAGACAGCTGTTCGTTTCGTCGGTTCCTCATGACCCCGTCATTCCCTTCTCTGCTCACAGAACTCGAGGCTTTATGTACAAAACAATGATGAAAATCCACCAGTCACAAACTCTCTGTCTTTGAAACTAAAAATCCCGAGGCCATGTAAATTTGCAAAGAACCAACAACGCCCCTTTTGTCATCGAGCAAGATGCAGCCCAAGACAACAAGGCCGGGCAGTAAGGTATACGTTACAGTGGCGAAACCTCTGTTTCACATGCTGCTCGAGAAGCACCCTCATAATGAATCGAAACTCAAGGATTGGCCTCCCTCGCCACGCGCTTAGCAACAGCATTCTTGTGCCCTGAGAAATCGAGATGGGTCTCAAACTTCTTAACCGTCATATCTGGGCCAGGTGTATAGAGCTTGGTTGTACAGTCCAGGCAGCGGATACGCGGCAGCCAGGCATATTTAACACCTTCGGGCAGAGGCTGGCCTTGGATAGGTAGCTCTGTCACGGGGTGCAGAAAGGAGTACTTCATCGTGGCCTCGAACCTGTCGCCACGGTTATAGGTCTTCTCTAAATCCTTGAGGGCATTGACAAGCCATTCCGGGGCCGGGGGCTGGAGAAGCATTGCAGTCAGTACCACTGTCGATGTGCGTATTATTCAAAGGCTTGGTGACCTACTGATGGCATGTGAGAAGACTGTCCAGGAACTGTCGGAGGGGCCGGTAGCCGGCCAAGTTGGCCTGGCGGAAGGGACGAGGATGGAGTTGCTGAAGCGTGAGGGATAGCGCTGGACGGGGTCGAGGGTGGCGGTGGCATGGATCTTGAGGGAGTGGAGGAGCTTGGTGCTCGTGGGAAGGACACTGGTGTCTGAGACGGCGGCCTCAAGTCTGAGTAGTCGCGGTTCATCAACCGCCTCAGCTTGTCGCGGGACAGCTTTAGTGTCACGATCAACTGCAAAGGCTCCTCTGTTTCCTCTCTGAACCGGCGGGAGGTCCTAGTCTCGTGGTGATGTGTAATGGCACTCGATTCAGGGGTTTCAGACCGGCCGAGGTTGGCCATTCTTTGCTGAGCTGCAGATGCAGCACCGCGCATACCTCGTGTTCGAGCAGTACCACCCGTGATTTGTGAGGGGGCGGGTGAATCAGGAGCTGAATCGTCGCTATCATCTGAATCAGAGATCTCCCCATCACGTACAACGCGCTTCGCCCTGGGGCCAGCAGCCCGTTTGAAGAGTCTACTCTCGTCGATGGTAGCTGCAGCCCCAGGCAAAACAGAAGAGACGACCAAAGTTCGAATGGTTCTTTGCCGCTCTCTAAGATCGGGCAGCTGGGGACCTCCTCTTCTGTTGATCGATCTCTTCTGGCGACGCTGCTCACGAGAGAATATCGTCTCATTCCGCTCCAGATCTGCTTCGCTGAGTTCGTAGAGATATGGTGCGTATTCCTTGGCCTGCTGCTGCGGTCGGAAGACCGTGGGCAGAGGAGTCTGGAGAAATGCGCCGACGAGATCAGGGTCTTCGACTGGCCGACCATCGAAAGGATGGCCGACGCTGTATAGACTCCTGGTAAAGAGCTGTGTCTGCTCTCGAATACAGTGTGCGATGGCGGTTGTAAATTCGCCAGATAGGGACAGATCCCGAGCCATGTTGGCAGCAAAGTCCTCTGGCGAGTTTGACGGGTTATTGATTTCCCATTCGAACTGGTCAACAAGGGTATGCTGGCCAATCGTGATATTCAGCTTGACGAGGATTCGCATCTCGTCGTTTTTGTATGCTGAATAGGGGAGCTCGGGGTCAAGCGCATCATCTTCTGAGTATACCAGCGGGTAAAAGTCGTTGAGCTGCTCTCGCATTTGATGAACAACCTGCTCGTACACCGGTTGAGACGCGGGTGGCTTTAGGCCCATATCTTCGACAAGTTGCGCGGCGAACAATTCGACCTGGAGAAGCCTCTCGTGCAAATTCCAGGTAAAAGTATCGCGCAGCTTGATCTTATCCCACTCGATCTCTAAGCGCAACGGGACCAGCTCCTCGTGCTGCTCGGCCTGCTTCAGCATATCCTTGCGCTTGTACTTGAGGGGTGGCGTCGTTCGTTGGCCAGGTCGGGGCTTCTGGGAGGGATAGATGATTCGTGAGGGTCCTTGGTTCTCTGTGTATCCATTGGCGAAGCCATTGTAGCCCTCGCCGTAGAGCCTCGACGGGGGGAACCATTGGCGGTACTCGGTGCGGACCTGGCGGTATTCTTGGATCTTGTCGCGCGTGTCGCTCATTATCCTGCGTGTCTGGTCGAGCTGACCGCCGAGCGCCGCGGCGGCGATGGCATCGCGGGTGATGTACCGCTCGACCATGAGTTTATCGAAGGACTCCTTCGTGCGCACCGGCATATTACTAGGGGAGTTCGAGGAGGGAACATCCTTATCTGCGCCAGTGGCAGCCGAGCCCGTGGCCGGCGCCGAAGACGTTGACGCGGAGGGCTGAGCGGCCATGTTCAGACGGTAACGGGGGCGCGGATCGCGGTCGCGGGTCGCGGCGCAGCGGAACTGCCGCGTCAGAAAGGAAACAAGCGAGAGTTTACAACTTTTTGTGTTCAGTACGCGGCGGATAGTTGGATGTCTTATCTGAGCGTTGACCTTGGCCGGTGGAATCGGCGTTGTTGGGTGAAAGGCTAAAGGTTAAAAAGCGCGAGGCGACAACCTTAAGGTAGGCTTGACGATTTGTTAAGTTCAGTTAACTAAGGTTGCCAATGCTGGTGCAGGCTGGCCACGCTGCGACGGGACTGGGACGGAGTTTGATCAGCCAGGGCGTCCTGTGGCTGCATGTAGTTGTACACTCTTTAGACGTGATGTTCTGTGGGAACTGATGTATCTCGACTCGGCTGCGCCACTTGTGTCTGTATCCAGGTGTGGCTTGTAGTTCGGTGAGTTGAGGTACCAATGGATCTGACGTTTTATGCGTGCTTGTAGTATCTACCTTGGCCTATCTGGCTTTACTTTATCTGTGTTTTGGCTTGGGATACCTCATGTTACTATACAGTTCGCAGTCTATAATCCTAAGAACGACTGATACTGAATATTCTATCAAATGACAATGCCAAAGTACCTGCAGCATATTAAATACTGCAACTACAGAGCTATTATTACCAATCATATTTATTTTCTTGGCCAATTGTGAAATTTGTCATATGTATGTGGTCTACAAGCTTTTAAGTTTGAGGTTGTCATGTTGATGTTGACGTTTGTGATGTGCAACTCATAAAGGCTGGAGACAAACAGCTTGCACATGAAATGTATATCTAACTGAATACAAGTTATCAAGTTATGATACACAAGTGATCCTAATAAACCGCCCTGAAGCCATAACCCAAACTCAAGAACTGTCAATAGGCGCGGGACCTGGGAACTCTAGGGTATGTACCTTAGCCAACAGAGGCTGACGACGGATGGGAGGGGCCGACAGCCCAAGGCTAGTACTCCGTAGGTAGATGCCCAATATAGAAATAGCCCAGGGCTGGATGAAGTCATGATTTGTGGCATGGATGTGTTCATTGCCCCTCATCACCAAGACTGCTTGGTTTGTTGCAATAAATGAATGATTTGTGTCGCCAAAAAGGTGGCTATAACGTGAGAAAGTGAACATGTGGAGAAATACAGAGCACATGTTCAGGCTTCTTTGGATATCAGAGAAACCATTTACTGAATATCGTCGGCTTGGATCATCATCAAGAATTGCTCACGGACGCTCATGTCTGCCTGCAAGCATGTGGCGGCTGCTTGCGCACACAAATACGCCCACTACATGGATATTTATTCGCTGATACTAACTTAATCTGCAGTCGAGGCATCGAGGAAAGGCATGAGCCGGGGCAACAAGAGGCCAAATATGTATACAACGACTACAACCCACGACAATATCCAGGTAGATACCTAGGTAGGCAGGCAAATGCCTGATGCCGAATCCGGAGGATAGTTGGTAATAATAAATAAACACTGCCTCTTCAGGCTCTAGGTATCTTCCACCAAATATCCCCATACCTTGGGTAGAACAATCCAAACCCTGTTGTCTAAACCCTCGCAGCTCAAACCCCACTTCCAAGTCCCCATTCCACACTGGGCGCTGTTCGTATTGGATTGGATTCTGATTCTTGTGTGCGCGTGCGACTGACCCGACCCGACCTGACTTGACTTGCTCAAGCTTTCATCCACCTTTCCCCGGCATTTGCATTTGCAGTTCTTCTTTCACCTTTTTAAACCTAACGAGTCAACAAGTATTGCCCATCATGTCGTCCGAGACGAAGGAAATCGGTGAGCTCCCCCCCCGGAAAAAGCCCCAATTAGCTGTCCCATCCAATCCCTCCTCTTCCATTCCATGTATGTAGGATCTCAGAGCTCCTTTGTAGCTATGCCGTGCCCTGGGCGACTGTCCCGTCAGAGGCACACGACTGACCGTTGCTACCCCTCGTTGCTCCTCACTGCCCCGCCACCACACAACAACATTTACTGCGAATGCCCTCGTCATCAGCACCCCGCGATGGCCTCACACGGGCACACCAATTTCGTCGCATTGAGCTCTATTGTGCTGACATAACCGCACAGACTACTCTCTGGCCAACCCAGATACCCTCACCAAGTACAAGACCGCCGCTCAGATCTCCGAGAAGGTTCTTGCTGAGGTGTCCAAGCTCGTCGTTCCTGGCGCCAAGATCGTCGACATCTGCCAGCAGGGTGACAAGCTGATCGAAGAAGAGGTTGCCAAGGTTTACCGAGGAAAGAAGATCAACAAGGGTTCGTCGCACACGCAAAACTTGGTCTGTGAGACATCGCTGAAGCTGACACCGCTTAAAAGGTTTCTCTCACCCCACTACCGTCTCTCCTTCGTCCTACGTCACTCCCTACACTCCTCTCACCTCCGACGAGGCTGAGGCCAACACCGAGATCAAGGATGGTGAGGCTATCAAGATCCAACTAGGCGCCCAGATCGATGGCTTCGGTTCCATTGTCTGTGACACCGTGATTGCCACCCCAGAGGACAAGGCTGGCGACAAGATCACCGGTCGCACCGCTGACCTGGTTCTTGCCAACTACTATGTAAACGAGCTTCTCCTGCGACTGATGATCCCCCCTGGTCTCCTCACTCAGGGGAGCGAGGAGGAGAAGGCCAAGGCGGCCTCTCAGAAGGCCCCTACACAGGCCAAGATCACCAGCCTCCTGGAAAAGGTCACCAAGGCCTACGAAGTTAACCTCGTCGAGAGCACCACCTCTTGGTTGTTCGACCACAACGAGATCGAGGGTAGCAAGAAGATTGTCCTTGCCCCCGCGGAGGGCACCAAGGGCGAGGGTGTTCCTGAGGTTGGTGAGGTATGGGGTGTCGAGACCGGTGTCAGCCTGGGCTCGGGCAAGGTGAAGGGTCTTGATCAGCGTGCTACCCTCCACCGACGCACCAACCAGACTTACGGTCTCAAGCGACCCACATCGCGAAAGATCCTCAACGAGGTCCAGAAGAAGTTCGGCATCTTCCCCTTCAGCTTGCGACAGCTTGAGGACGAGCGTGATGCCAAGTCTGGTGTCGTCGAGTGTGTCCGTGGCAACGTATTCCGCCAATATGAGCTAGTTGGTGACAAGGACAACTCCCCTGTTGCTCGATATCTCACAACCCTCGGTAAGTCGCACATCGAGTGGTTGACCAGTTCGAGAGTTGATACTGACATTACATGCAGCCATTACCAAGAACGGTATCACCAAGCTTGGTGGCCCACCCCCTCTGGACCTCGAGAAGTATGAGTCCGACAAGAAGATTGAGGATGAGGAGGTTCTCAAGATCCTGGAGCAGCCCCTGGCCAGAAACACTGGCAAGAAGAAGAGCAAGCCTAAGAAGAAGACCGCCAAGAAGGAGGATGACGAAGAGTAAAAGAAAACGACAAGATAAGACGAACAAGCTGGAGAGTTGCTGAACAATTGATGAAAGAACTCGAGGATATGCAAACAAGAATCAAGTCAAACAGGTTGCAAACCCAACATTCAGGCTCACGAGCATCTCCACCGTTGGACGAGCTGTGCGGATGAAACCACTTCCATCGAACAGAGTGGGCAGCTGGATGGTCAATATGCATGATTGGAATCTCGAAAAGTGAAACCCACCGTGTTGGCCAGGTGGACTGGCATGACCAGATATATATATATAAGTCTAACACAACCTGATACTGATCAACCATGGAATTCTGTCTCTGTGATGCATGTTTGCAAAAGTTCAACCCAACTGATTGAATCGTCAAGGCATACCAAGGCAGACTGGGCACAATAGCGATGAGACTGACAAAGATGGTTAGCGAGCGAGAGGCAACATGACTGAGAATGCAAATTAGGGAGAGCCCACGATACTGCGCGCGCACGTATGTTTCTGCGCAGGGGCTGAATGCCAAAGTGCTGAGTGAGCGTGAACCACTCTTTGTCATTCCCGCTGATGGAGCAGACCCCCTGATAGCATATGGGTTATGACGGTATATGGTAGCAAAGTGCGGAGAAGAAAGGCCAGACAGTAATCGTCCAGTTATTGGTGATGTGGCTGCCTTGAGTACCGGGACTTGCAGATAAAGGGATGGCCCAGTTGCGTCGTCGTTGAAACACAGTACAGTACCAACAGGACCATGCCAATTTGATGTCTATTACTGTCGACATAGGGAATCATGTACCTGTCGCACTGTCAGCTGCAGATATGGAGGTGAGCCAAGCCAGCCCCTATTTATCTATTCATACAAACAACATGATGAGTGACGCTACTCTCGAGTGTTACTACACATACAGACAAGATAGGAGGGTGAAAAGAAAAAACAACAAGAGCTGGAAATAAAATGCTTGAGAATGTATGAGCTATCAGGCTCCAGCTGCACTCAGTAGCACATTGAGCGTGAGCTGCCTTTGTGGACGGGTTGGGGAGTGAGTGTGGGTGGCTGATTGCTGGGGGCGAGGGAGGAGAGCTCTACTGACCTGGGCTCTATCTATGACCTGGGCTCTATCTATGACCTGGGCTCTATCTATGACCTGGGCTCTATCTATGACCTGGAAGCTCAAGCTATTTGACCTCGGGTAAGACGCAGAGCTCTATGCGGAATTGCGTAGAGAAACTAACATTAATCCAATGGAAAGGGTGAAAGAAAAAAGAATCCATGAGGTAAAAATGTAGGAAAGGAGGCGAACCCGGAAAGAGTGAGCATATCCAATGCCCATAAATAAGTACTAATGTACCTAAAGCCAGGGAGGGTGCCTGGAAGCTTCAGTGCTACCTACAGGAGCCGCCACTGAAAAGTAACCAGTCTTAGTGGAGGACCTACCTACCTAGATCTACTATATGAAGCTTCCATCCATTAGGTGCAGAGCCACCTGATTTCCATCCCATCCCGTCCCCTCCTGGTTGACGAAAGTAGGTAGTACCTTATTTGTGGTCTGTACTTTAACTGCCACTTATAAATTAGGTAGGTATTGAATAAGAGGCTGAAAGAGAAAAGGGAAACAAGATAAGAGAAAACCGACTCTGCAGGTCAAGAACACTCTTTTCTCCCCGTTATCCCTGGGTTACCTTCCACCCCCGGTCCCTTGCCTGTCCGACCCGCGCCGTCAGCTCCGGTGCATGCATGCACTGACACTGACTGACACTGGGTCTGGGGTCTTTTTTTTTTTTTTTCAAGGACTGACCTGTCGAGGCGAAGAGGCAGGCAGGGCGTTGACCATAGCACAGCAAAAGCCGAGTCTCAACCTGCTACCCACCCACTCTCTCTTCAACATCATCATTCCGCGTTCACGACCTTCAAAACACGCGATACTGTTGCAGTAATTCATGCTGCTTCCCAAGATAAAAGTATTAAATCACCTGGAACCCCCCCTATTGTACATTTTATTTCAAGAACACTGCTAACCGAGCAACCTTTTTAGCTGGCCTAGAGAGGTGCGCTGCCCCGTCCCGCGGCAACTGGCACACGCAGAGAGAGGCACAAACACAACACACCACCACCATTACCAGGTCAGGCATGCCAAAGGCCGGCACAATGATCTCGTCAAATACCAGAACTACACGATCTCGTTACTCTAGTCCCGCGCAATCACAGAATACCAAATGGAATGGAGTGCTAGACGCGTCTAAGGGGGCTACCGAGGGTTCAAGAGCTTTCATGCAGCGCTGGCTAGAGCCGACCGTGCAGAGCAAAGCGAGCTTCGAGGATGATGGGCTGGTTCGATATGGGGTCGTTGAGAACATGGCGCCTCTGGGAAGCCTGCCCAAACCCAAGAAGACGGGACCGGAGACCAACTCAGGAGTAAAGAGGATTATTTTGCGGCCTTCAGGGGGAGGTGCTGCCAAAAATGTAGCGCAGATGGGCTCCAGCGACCCAGTGGTGGATGTTGACGTGGATGTGGATGTGGATGTGGATGGGGATGCGGAGGCGGAGGCGGATGTTGCGATTACGGCGAGAGCGGCAGACTCCTCCCCTCCACCTGTGGCTCTACCCCCTACACCGCCACGGAGAGTATCTATTGTTCTCAAAGACGCGGCAGCAGCAGCTGACGACGAGAACGATGAAGACTACGATCCGAGTCGACCCAAGAGACGACAATCAGGACGCACATCTCTAGGAAGACGGTCGCGACGCTCCTCTGCCGGTCGCAGAAGCTCCATCGTGACCAAGCCCTCAGTAAAGGAGGCAAAGGAGCGCAGAGAGTTGGAGAGGGAGCCGAAGAAGACTGCAAAGTCGGCGGAACGGGCCAAGTCTTTCAAGGAGCTCGAGGCGGATGAGGAGCTGGAGGCAGCAGGGGCAATCACAGCCGAGGCGACGATTCACGCAGCTGAACCTGTAGAACCCGAAGACAAAGAATTCACGGACAAGGTCGTCGAGGCTGCAGTGGACGAAGCCCTAAAGCACTATCGATATCCGACTGCGTGGGCTCTGCGGACCCTATACGACGAGAAATCAAGCGACCCGCGGTTCGTTGCCATGATCGAGGAGGTATTCACGCAAACGGCAGATGAGGCTACGATGCAAAAGTTTTCAAGAGAGATGCAGAAGAAGAAGCGAGAGGGCAAGAAGGACAACCAAGGCTGCTACTACTTCATCCCTCCAACGACCAACAGCAGATTCACTCCTCACAAACCCAAGGCCGCGCCGTACGGCAAACTCCTGCATCACAATCAGGTGGAAGAGGTGGTCGAGGTTGTAGAGGTTGGGACTGAAGACGAGTCAGAGGTGCATATTCTCGACTCGGAGGAAGCAGAGCAAGTGAAAAACGCGGATCGACATCCAGTTCGAGCTACCAAGAGGGCAAAGACATCTCACTCTCGCGCTCACTCTTCTTCCCATCACAGCAATACCCATACCCATACCCATACTCAGACTCACGCCCACTCTCACTCGACCCGCAACACGCCACGGAAAATGTCTTCAAGTAACCTACCCCAAACACCCTCGCGCAAGCGAAACAGACGAGATTCGGCATCCAGTGATTCCTCTCTCTCATCGGCCCTCAGTCTCTCGTCACCTGAGGCCATGATGGGCAGCCCAAGCCCTGTCCGTCGAACAGGCACTGGCAACAGTCGCCCCGGGCCAGCTGGGCCCGACTCCAGTGATGCGCCAAAATCTCGACCAATCACCACCCGCCGCAAATCACTCGCCTCCAAGGGAGGTGCCAGCAGCAAGGCCAAGGCCAAGACCACCAAGCCTGCTGCTACTAAGCAGCCATCACCCTCAGCTCCCACACTGTCCACCTCAGACATCACCAAAGGCATCAAACTCAAACCCACTGATGCACCCGCAAGTGCGGCCATCAGCGTGAGCGCCGACGCCAGTATGCCAGGAAGGGTTTCTGCCGGCCAAATCTTCCCAAATCTGCCTACAAAATCAAAGACAGCAAAGAACAAGGGATCATCATCTGCCCTGGCTCCAGCTCCATTCTCGGCTGATGACGCTGGCCATGATAACGACGACTCCTTCTGGGATCGGAGACGCGATGCGCAAAAGTTTGCCAACAGTGTCACGGCGACCGAGAGTTCTATTCGAGGGGGAGACGAGGACGAGGACCCCTTCACAACTCCCGCAAAGTCGACGAGGAAGACGCGTCAATCCATCGCCGCCATAGGCTCTGCTTCAGCGGGAACAACGAGATCCACGCGCTCGGCGAGCAAGAGACCTCACGACGAGATTGACTCTGCCGTGTCCCCTGTTGCCTGGTCTTTCCAGCATGATGACAGCTCAGTCGGAGGATCACGGGCTGCGACGCCCACGCTACGCCCCCCAAAGAAGCCGAGAACTGGCCTTCGTATCAAGTCATCGTAAGTTTACATCTCAATCATCATCTTCATCACCAGCTACTTGGCGCGCATCCCAAAATTCACGACTATTGCCATCGCTCTATCTACTTCACCTTTGGATGAGACTCATGGATGCGCATGTGAGATCATTTATGTCATGGCTTTTGACTCTTGGCTTGTCTTATCTTCAGCCTCTAGGTTTTCATCCGGGATGACTGTGCCGTGACTCTCTCATTTCATCATCATCAACATTCTGCTTTGGTCGGATTATGCTAACTATGTATGATTTCTAGTCCTGTCAAGAAGAGAGGAGGAACTGCTGCTGGTGTCCCTCGGCCACAAGGAGAAGCCCTAGCAACCAACGGCGTAGCCAAAGACCAGGTATGTATCTTTTTTTTTTTAATATTAGTTTTGCTCATTCATTCATGCTGTGCAAATTCGCGACACCCGCCCTAGACTTGACCATCAAGATTGGGTCGTCAACATCATGGACTTTGCTGGGAAATTCACCAGATGGTGGCCAATTTTGCGACTCTGTCTGTACCTTGTGCATTGTCTTGCCGGGCCAAGGCCAAGATGGCCTACCACTCACTACTGTACGGGGTAATTTCTGGTGGCCCCCGAAGATCCGCTTTTCCGAGCCAGCCCCCAGCAGTTGAATCAGCAACCAGGAGCCGGTGACCAGAGAGAGAGCCAGGGACATGTTGAAACGCGTAGCGCAGCGCGTTGTATCGAATTGCACAGGCTGAATTGAGTATACTTAGCATGGCTCGTGTTTGGCTAACTCTACCCCCTTTCTCCAGGTGTCGGACAACGACGAAGATTGCTCTGCCTGCGGCGCCGCTGGCGACGTTGTCTGTTGCGATGGATGCCCAAGGTCATTCCACTTCGAATGTGTGGGCATGATACCCTCGGACCATCTTCCCGACGAGTGGTTTTGCAATGAGTGCCTATACAAGCGATACCCAACGCGCATGCCCCCATACAAGGGTGTCTTTGCCGCTGCCCTCATCAACCTGGAGAAGAGCATTCCTCGCGCATTCAGCCTCCCTAAGAAATTGCAGACCCGCTTTGAAGGCGTCAAGGCCGGTGCCTATGGCGAGTACGAAGAAGTCACCACCGCCAAAACGACCAAGTGAGTGATATTCCCCAATAGCAACTTCAATTCTAGACATGCTGACAAGGGCTCAGGAGGAAGAATGGCTACGAAGAGTTGCCCGACTTTTTCAAGCAGCGCGACGAAGGACAGGCTGTGATCTGCCACGGCTGTCAGAAGCCTGCCACAGATGTTCGAGCCATCATTCCTTGTAGCATTTGTCCCTTCTACTGGCACATTGACTGCTTAGACCCCCCACTCGCTGTCCCGCCTGTCCTCAAGACCTGGCGATGCCCTCTACACCCAGAGGAAATAATGGCTGAGGTCCGCTCATTGGCACCTGCTCACCGTTTTCGCAAGATCAAAGGATCGCAGACCATCGTACCATCTCTCACACGAGGTACCAAGAACAACGGGTACATCGAAATTGACTGGGAAGATGAGCCCGAGCCCACGAACAATTCCGGCTGGCCGGATCCTGACTCGTTCGGTCGAGCTTACAAACTACCAGCAAAGGGCATTGTCCTTGATTTTATTGAGCAGTAGGTCCATTACTCGTTTTTTGCATATTCAACTTTCTGATGTCCGTACAGGCTACGTCGTCAACACGCTGGCTATGGTCCTCGCCATGAAGAACCCAGATGTGTGTCGTATATTCCAACAACTGGAAATGGCCGAAGTCGACCCCTTGCGGGCTCTGAGTTACAGCGGACTGTCGATGAAATGCAGTTAGCATTGACCCTGACCAGTCTCAAAGAGCGCAAGTCGGACGGCGTTGACCAACTGATCACGGCCCTTGTGGTAAGTCGTCCCAACGAAATTGCCTCACCTCACCACATGTGCCACCTTACTGACGATCAATCAATCAGCAGGAGACAGCTGATGCTGGTGTTTTGTCACTCATGGCTAAGGCAGATGCCAGTAATTTATCTACTGGTCATTTGACAGAGAGCGACAAGCTCAGTCTGCGTGTCCTCCTAAATCAGATGGATTCCATGGGGACTCGCATCAGACATCTGCTTGGTGAGCCAGAGCCTGTTGGTATTTCCGCTACCATGCAAGACCAGGATGTCATACCGAGCATCCTTTCCCCACAAGACTCAGCCATTGCTGAGCCGCTCGACAAGGTTACGGCACATCCTGTCACGGAGCCCACGCCCCCTTCTACCATTGACCACGCTGAAGGCTCTATGGATCTCGACTGAACAACCACAGCTCTCTCACTCTCACTCGTACTCGCACTCTTGAGTTTCCACCTTAACATTCACATGGAGTAATTGCGATAAGATCGGTTCTCTGCTCGAATTCACCATAGTCTTTTCCCTATCCTAATTCATTCTCGGAGGAATCAAACAGGACCTTTGTACGGATCTCTTCGACCTCTGCATGTATCTATGCAAGCGCCTAGTGTAGCATTACGCAACCACTATCTGAAGCGCCGTCTTTTCGCGCGACCTTTTTGACTATGGAACGCCGAACTCTGGAGGGCTTCGCTATTTGAATCACGAACCATGGTTATAAAGACGATCTAGATGCTCTTTGTCCCCATCAAGTCAATGTTTGTTAGTTCGGCCTCGTCTGAAAGGGACCGTAACCCAAAGGCAACCAAAACACACACGACCACCCCGCCTCTGAGCATCACAAAAAGCCCAGGCATCGTCTGAGCGGTGCCATTACTTCATTATCTCATCCCCCCTTTGTTTCTTTCTTTCCGATTTCTATATTATGCACGAAACCACCCTTGATTCCCCAGTTATGGTGGATATGACATTAGTAGCAGCTAGTAGACACAGGGTGTTTCGAGATCGAGATAAATAAGTGCTGCACTAACTACTCTTTATTTGTATCATAGTTGAGAGTTGGTGAGGAGAAAAAGCGATATTGATCGATTGAAGCTCCTGGGACGGATTCAGAGGCTGAGGCGATAGAAGTATTTGCTAATATAAGAGAAACATGAGACTGAAGACGAGCTATTGAATCCTTCATTATCCCAATAATGGCCATCCCCTGACGAAACGTGATATGGTACAAAATGTCAGAAAAGTCTGCCCCCTAAAATCTGCTTCTCTTTTCGGGTCACCCCGATGCCAATATCGTTATGTGCCGTAAGTCTATACGTCTTCGATCCAGGTTGTGCACCACAGGAACTCCATAAAAACATCAATTGCTAAGTCGTAAAAGCTCAAAGACGGAGATACGTCAGGAGGCTCTTGCAAATCTTTTAGTTTTAATATACAACAAACCTCGAGGAGGCATGGCTTGCAAGGTTAGCCACTCCCACCCAAGGGTTGCAAGATGAAATCGTGGCATCGTCCTTAATTACCCAAACAACCCCCCCAAACCAAGCCTACCATCGTGTCTATCATCAAACGCTGCCGTCGGACTGGGCCAGACCTATAAAAAGGACTCATCACAGACGCAGCCACCAATGGCTCCACAGTGACAACAGACCTAGACCCAACTGCCGTTTTGAACAAGAATCGTAGTGTTTTATTCTGTTTAGAGTTTTCCAGGGTCTCCAGGTTCATTCAGTCGTAGAAGTAGCCCTGCCTCTCCTCCATCTCTTGCAAAACTTCCAAGACCGGCCTGAGACGAGCTCTGCAAGAAGTAGAAGGGAGGTAGGTATCGAAACAAGAGGACAAGACATCCAAGTCACGGGCGAAAAACGTCAGCCTTGGCCGAGTCACTATGACAAACACGGTCGTCTTTGAAATGTGCATCCGTAGCCGTTGCTCAAACGCCGCTCCAGCTCCCCAATGGCTGCATGCTAGAAATGATTTGAAAAAAAACGAGAACAAACCCCAAAGATCCAGCGAATATGGTGTCGGCCACCCGAAGGGGCGCGCGAACTGCGGTTGACTTGATCATCTCTGGGAATAGTTGATTAGCCCCCTCTTCTTTGTTGCCCATTGCGTGACTGAGGTTGTCTTACGCGGCCTCGTCGAGGGTTACCCTGCTCCTGTTGCTGCATGTAGCCCATGTTGGGCATGCCTCCCATGTTACCATAACCATAGTTGCCCATTCCCATACCAAATCCTGGGGGTGCGAATGGAGTCTGGCCAGCGGGCATCTGGGGTATCTGTGAAACAGGCGGTTGGATGGGACTTCCATTCGGAATGTTCTGTTGGCGGTACTGGTCGACAGATGGGTTGGGACCATTGAAGCCACCATAACCAGCCTGCATAGGAGGATAGTTGAAATTCATGGGTGGCGGCCCTCGATTCATCATCTGCTGGTACTGCATCTGTTGCAAGTTGGCAGGCATCGGACCTCCGGGTGCGTTATACATCATGCTCTGGTTGAACTGAGGGAATGCGGAAACGCCTCCATCAGCAGGCTCGTTTCTCTGGCCGCCATACGGCATATCAAATCCAGGAGGGTTAGTTGGTTGGTTCATCGGGTTATAGAAAGGCTTATTAGAGTGCGCAGAATTGGGATGATGGCCATTCGAGTTTGCCTGTCGCGAGGATGGACGTTGGCGTTGCTCAGCATGTGTACTAGCATCCCGGTTGTTACCAGTGCTGCGAGTCGACAGGCCAACCTCGTCCATCAGGCGCTTGTAACCTTGGTTGGGCTGGGCCTTGATTCGCAGAAGAACATTCTTGACATTTTCAACAACCTGGTTGCGGATAGACTCGTCAAAGAAGGGCGTGGTAAGAACCTTGAAGATCAGTGTAGCACCGCATTGGTGGTCCTTCAGAATGGCTTCAAGCACTTGGTCATTAGGCGTGAAGAACAAGGCTTGAAGGATGGCATCGCGCGCATCCGCCTCTGCCTTCTGATTGATGACCTTGAGCACTGTGAGATAGGCAACCTTGTGGGTGCAGAGATGAACCAGATAAGGCACTAGCTGGGGCGACAGAACTGTGCGACGTTGGGGAAAAGTGCAAGTGTCAAGGAACCAGGTCAAGAGTAGTGCACCATTAGCGTTGGTTGCCAACTGCACGCTGTTTAGGGCAATGGCAGCAGCGAGCATTCGCTGTTGGTCCTTGGTCGAGTGATGGCTCTCGAGGCATGCTCTCATGGCACGAGCACCATACCGGCCCTGTGAAATCTCCCACATGCGGGCAAGCATCGTCTCAAAGATGAAATCATTGTAGGGGGCACCAAACTTGAGACATCCTTGGAGAACATAATTGCCGTATTGGTCCAGGAAAAGAGGAATAGTGTAGGGGCGGATGTGCTCAACAATCAAAGACATCTGCGCGGGGGTCTTGCAGACATCAATGATCTTCTGGGCCGCCCAGGTACCGTTTTTGTGCACCCCAATCTCGGCCATATGAGGCGCAATCTCGGACAGCATGGCATCGCGGAGTTGATCGGAACAGTGCTCAAAAAGCTTCTGTACCACGGTGTTACCAAGATAGTCGGACGAGAGCTCGGCAATTTCCGGAAGCATGTCCACAGCAATATTCTCAATTTCAGCCTGAGACAAGCTCTGGTTATCAATTCGCTTGCGGATATCCCGAAGCTTGGGTGCGTCGTGAACACGAGTGTGAGCAGGCTCGCGGATAGGCGGGATTTCCTCAACAAATGAGTTGAACTGAATAGCCGACTGCAGGTTACGAGAGATCCTGAATCTATCCTCTTCAGACGCGCCAAATTGCTTAACAATATCGAGAATATTAGTGGTCATATCACGGAGAGCAGGAGCCTTAGGGGTTGCGTTTGTGGTGGAAATGGCAGGGGTAGTATCGCCCGCTGGGGTACTGGCGTTCGTGCCCTGGACATTATCTTGTCCCTTCGCAAATGGGTCAGGGCTAGGGGAAGGGAACACTCCGTCGTGGCCGGGAGTGTTGGAAGCAGACGGAGGCTTGGCGAAGTTGATGCGTATGGGACCAGCACCGGGAAAGATTTCCTTGCTGTTCATGCTTGCCTTGGCAGAGATGGCGCTTTCCACCCTCTCGAAATTGACGAACCCGCAATTCTTGTGAGTGAGGACACGAGCTGACAAGATGGGACCGTGAGACTTGAACATCTCAATCAATGTGGAAGTGGTTGTGGAAGTGGGAATGCTACCGAGCCAGAGTGCGCTGGTAGGACCCTCAAGACCTTGCTCGTCAGCACTGAGGAGACCAGCGTTACGGCTGCTTGATCTGCCGAGGTTGATCCCAGCAACGGCCTGAGGAAGATCCTCGTAATCCTTCTCGTCTTGCAGTCGAATCTCAGCAGGGGCAACAGAGTTAGACAGGTTGGAGTTGCCGGACATGTATGTTCTCATAAGTCGACTTCCAGGAGTGTCCAAGACACCAGCGGTACGCGCGCGAGGACGATTGGCCTGATTGGCAAAAGCCTGGACAGCGAGATTGTGGTTGTGAATCGCAGCGTTGGTAGCGGCCAGCTGATCTTGCAGAGCTGCCACATATTGGGGGTCGAGGGGCATTTCATTGTCGTAATCATCTTCGTCATCGGCATATTTGTCCTTGTTGTTGACCGAGTAAGATCGGAAACGGCTTGCTTGCTTCGTGAAGTCGAGATTGGCAAGGTAAGGAGTAGCAAGCTGTGCTCGGGGAGGTTGTGGGGTCTCTGCAAGTCCAAGATAGTCCAGGGTTCTCATATGAACATCGGACTCCCCGCCTCCTTCTTTTGAGAATTGAGATTGGGCTGGCGAGCTAGGGCCGTTAGAGCCGACACTGGCAATGCTGGCTAAAGTGGAGGCTCGCTCGCGTCCCACACCTGTCGGATTCCAACTGCTGAAGATAGAGGGACCGAATGGCGAGCTGGTTCCAGGAATTGGTGCAAACTGACTTCTCTGAGGCATGGAACCTGCACGGAGTCGTGAGAGTAAGGTTGAGCTGCTGGAACTATTCTCCTGTACATCAGGATTAGGAGAAGGCGACTTGAAAGGGCTCTGAGTTGGCGTGGGCCTGTTTGTCTTGGCAGCTAGGCCAGGAATACCGATCATGCCGTTAGCTGCACCTCCAGGAGAGAATCGAGACGGCACCGTTCCAGCTCGAGCGCGCCTTGTCTGAGGCATTGAATCCGGCGTAGGAAGCTGGGCAAAGTCCGGGAAACCATCGGTTGGGGACTCGGGAATATTCTCACGTAGTGGCGTGGAATTGCCGCTCGTGGGGGGGCCGCCCCAAAGGCTTCCCGGCATACCAGGGACTCCTTCTTGGGCCTGGATCTCGCGAGCTCTGTAGGGTGGGGCCAGTCAGCGTCGGCGCCATCAACATAGGACTAAGAAGAGCATCGGGTTGAGACCTAGGAAAGCTCGGTATCCTGGGGTGGGGAAGATGAAGGAAACGCGATTTGGGGGCAGACGAACCTCTTGGAGAATAGACGGCTTGAACCAGGGATTTCGTGCGACGGAGAACCAGCCCCAGATCGCGAGTTGCCCGCCATCTTACTGGAAGGGTTGAGACCACCAGACAAGCCGAATGGGGAACGAGAAGGTGGAAGAGGATCGATGGGGGAATTGCTGGCGGATGGGGAACCAGAACGAGGTTGACTGCCAGACTGAGAGGCGTAGCCGAGAGCCAAGTGTTCGGATCTAGAAGTTGACATTATCGATTATCTAGCCGACCTCATGAGACGGTGACACAAGCAAGCGTCGGGCCGGATAGTTGATTATTATTTCTCAGCGGCAAAAATTGATAAATCGCTGATTGAATCAACGTTTAGACGTTTCTAACGGCAAAAAAGGACAACCCCTAAAGTAGAAACTCGCCGGGCGAGAACAGTCTAGTAGTTGTGTTTTCGACGACCTCGAAGCGATGGACGAGGGAGACGACAGCGTGGAAGCGTCGGAGGATGTTCGAGCGTATTCGAGAGAAACGGGGGGCTGGATTTAAGGAGCGCGATGCTAACAAGAGAAAATCCAGGAACCGCCGGTATTACAAAGGATGCTCGTGCGAATTGGAGGAGGCCTGTCTGAGCCGAGAGCAGGGTCGTTATTCTATAGCTGAAGAGACCGAGGGGACTAGGGCAAGCAAAGCAAACTGCTGCTCGGACGAAGATGCAATTGAGGTGGATTTAGGTGTGGATGTGGATTTGGACAACGGTCGTCCAGCGTCGTCCGAGCCCGCGGCTTGAGAGAGGGCGCAAAAAAAAAAGAAGACAAGGGAATGTAATAAGGAGACTATTTCGGGCGGAGGGCAGGAGGGCACAAACAAAGATATGATCAATATACAGGCCTCATTGAAGAAGTACAAAAAAAAGGAAGATTTTTTTGACTGGGCCTGGAGAAGCAGACGAGACGAGCGCGCGATTATGGGGAATGGGGCACAAACGGGGGGTGAGGAAGGAAGAAGGAGGAGGAGTCGAAGAAGGAGGGATGTGTGATATGTGATGTGCGATGTGCGAGGAGGTGAGCGGGAAGGAAAGGCCTTGGAAGGTGCTGTCCCTTAGTAGGTACCTACCTTGCCTGCGGACGGGGCGGGAATACCTACAGAGCACTCCACTCCACTGTAAAGGTACCTGCCTGTAACCTTCACCACTAGGTTGACTGGACATGGACTTGCCCGCTAAACTACCTACTACCTGACCAAGGCTGCTTCTTGCCCTGCCCTGCCAACTGCTAGCTGGGGAGCAAACAGAGTTGAGGCCAAGACTGAGTATACAATAAATAAACAGTCCGAAGCTCGCGTATATCGTACTGGGAGCTGGCAAATGATTTCTATCACCTGGAACTGATTTCTACCTACCTACTAGGTACTCAGGTATCTACCCAATCTAGGTACTAAAGTACTTATGTCTACTTTCACCCCCTAGCTATCCAGGCAAGAACGTTGGAGGGGGCGGGAGAAGCCACCGTCCCGTCAGATTTTGCTTTAGAAGACGCTTTTTATAGTGGGCTGGAAGCTCAAGCGAAGCGCCCCCCCAAAAGAAACGGATAACTCGACGTGTTCCGACCAGTAACTCCAAAGTTTCCTACAATCAAGCTGTGGCATTCTTGTCAACCTGGGGACTGTATACGCGTCCAGCTTCGTCATATATGTTAGTACCTGGGCTGTTCGTTCGCTCAATTGCTACCTACCTTATGAATAGCAACTCGCCCACAGTCCAAGGCCCTTACATTCGATACCCAGCGGTGTCTGTTGGTTGATGAGCCTGCCCATTGATTCAGCCAAGATCTGATGGTTCGAGATGCCGGAGGGCTACCCGCATAGACAGGTTCAGGTATGAAACCTAATGCCATCTCTTATTTGTTTCTGACGGGTTGGTTGAGCACCTACCAGTTGACTTTGAGCTATAATGTTTATCATAGCTCAGTTCTTTTCAAGATATTCGTGGCAGACACATGGCAGCAAAAACATGCGGTTTTTTGCCAAGGTGCCAGAAATAACTACTACTAGGTGGTTCAAAGATCTATTGAGCTACTTACTGTGTGCAAGGTCTGCTCAACTTACCCAAGTCTTTTCTCACCACTAACCTAGGACAGAGGCCCTAAGCTTTTGTCTCCTCCAGGTGCGAGAGAAATACTACCTTAGTACCTACCTACTACCTACGTACTAACTTGGCGGTGAATTCTAACATTGCCCCCAAAATGGTCATTTTTAGAACATCTATCAATGAATGTTTCGTCGGGACTCAGTTTGAGTCTCCTATACCAATAAGCGATCTATAAGCTTTCAGGTTGAAACTACCTAAGCTCGCCAGGATATCTTCGAATTTGTATCCGTATCCGCCTCTCAACTGTTGTCCCTAGCTCTAGTTTGTTCTGTTTACCAAATATGTTCTGTTCTGTTTGTGCACTGGCAACAGGCAATACTCACTTTGTTTCTCCACATCCATACTCCTTGGATATCCATATCCAGAGGTCGGCAAGCATCCGAGCATTTACTCCGTACGGCACTGTGCATCGGGAACTCTGCCAAATATATCCTCTAGTCGATGTTATACCGCGGAAGAGCTGAAATGGGATTCCTTCAGCTTCGTCTTGGAAGTCAATGAAGTAGTAGCGAGGGGTTTAAGGGGCTGGCTGCCAAGCAAGCCATTTCTCTCTCTCTCTCTCTATTCTATGGTTAGGAAAGGTTATCTTGGTACTTACTGGTAGTTTGTTTGTCAGTCCTGTCACTACCGTCAACTTGTACTACCTGTACTTGACAATACCTAGTACCTATGGACTCAGGTACCATGGTCCTATGTGGTATCAAACTACTATAGGTAGGTATCCTCTACTCTGCCTTACAACCTTTCACAACCAGCAACGAACGCTTCGCCAATGCTTGAAGGGCTGTTAGGCACTCTGCTGCTTGTCACTCGGCTTTGAGATTCCACGACTTATAATCATAGTGCTCTTAGCTCGCTCGTAGCATTCAGCATCCATACCTAGTTACTACTCCGTACTCGATGTTACCATGATTCGACGGGGTTTTCTTATTCTTCATTTTCATGCTCTTGCAGATGCACATTCCGATTGGTTGCACTGATGACACCTCTCCATCTCCCTTTCAGCCCCCTGTTAACAAGAGGACCAATCGTGACTCTGCACCTTGTCGTTGGAGGATCTATTAGCCTCTTGATGAAACGAGCCTTACTGTGACCCCCTGTCTTTTCGACTCCCTACCCGTACATAACACTCACAACGTGGTAGCTCAGGGGCTATCATGAGTATTTCGAAACACAGCTCTTACCATCCCTCCCCCCCTTTGTCAGTAGTGTTTCCAGAGCTATTACCAACCCTCCCTGTCTAAGTTTCGTTGCTGGTTCTGGACCATGTCTCAGATAGCGGTCCGCAATCCCCGGGCACTATTTTAGAAATTGTCCAATTCAATATTATTTTTGACTGTCTTCAACTCAAGATTTTGACACACGGCGCTCTCATGAGTCATAATCTCAAGGAGTAGTTGACCTGGATGTGTTAGAAATATTCATCTGTTGTAAAGATCGTTGAATCCAGGTGGGTTTTTGTACAAAGCACAGATTGAACAACTACACCGGATGATAACTCATCTAGAAGCATCCAGGACATGCATTGCTGTGACCCGATTTCATATTTTCTCTATATACGTTGCCCTTTGATTATGCTCTTTCAAAGTGACTCTGCTGCGCCTCATAGTTCCCAATTGCGCTCAAAATGTCACTGTTGTGTCATGGCTAGGGCAGACAGTCTTCCCATGTTCAGTCTTTTCTTTAAGAAAAAAAAAGGGTTCATCCAGTCCCTCATGTCACCCGACTCCTAGTACATTGGGTATTTGCCCGAGCTTTCATCGCCTGTCGTCATCATCGATACCGCGGAGGGAGACTTCTTGGACAATGTGGCTAAATGCCGCCAAGTAGGTGTAGAGACATCCGCACATACGCAATGTCCTTGCCAAGTGCGAGGTGCCAAAGAACTTTCGCCCGTAAACGCCAAGAGAGAAAAACACCATCTGTGGGGGAATATATGCATCGCCTTGCTTCTGTACCTCATTCAAAATGTCGAGCTGCAACATGAGCGCCCAACCTTATGTATGTCTCGTGTGCGTCCTCTTATTTGGCGTGCTTCTTGAAAGCAAGAAGATCTGCCAAGCTAGCCAATGGGCAGCCATGACGCAAAAAGTCATGAGCCAGGAGCTCATCAGCAGAGGCACGGCTCTTGACGTCCACGCACAGGCAGACAGACAAGAATGCCTTCAGTTCTTTGCTTAGTTTCTCAGGCTTCTTGAGCCGAGGAGTTCCATTTGTTGCGATGAGGTAGAGAGCTTTGAGAGGTTCCTCGTTAAGATATGGCGGCTCGGACTCTATCATCTCAATCGCCATAATACCCAAAGACCAGATATCGACCTTGGGACCGTATTCCTTCTGCTTGACAACCTCGGGGGCCATCCAATAGGGGGTTCCCACCATGGTGGCTCGCTTGGATTTTGTCTCCGTGAGCTTGGCGCAGAAACCAAAATCGGCTACAGGCATGTCAGCATCGTGGAATTGTTCATGTTAATGGTGATCGACTTACTGATTTTCACGTTTCCACGAGCGTCGAGTAGAACATTATCACTCTTGATATCACGATGAATAATATTCTGTGAATGCAAGTGCTGCAAGCCGCGGCAGGTCTATGGGTGTCAGCAATTACAGTGTGGACGAGCCAATGTACGTACCTCGTGGCAAATAGTCGAGATTTGCTCCTCGGAGATGGACGGGTTGTTGTCAATCACGTCAGTAAGAGCACCCCCTTCCATGAATTCCATAACGACCCAGAGCTCCGCGTTGTTATTGCGTAGGAAAGCATCTAAGAAGTTAACAATGTTGCGGTGCCGGCTGTCTTTCATAACCATGATTTCGTTCACGATGAGCTCCTTCCTAGGTTGGTGAGCGAGGTCCATTTGTTTGATGGCAACCTGGGCCCTAGGACCCTGGGCACGCAGAATATCGCGGGCGATGCCCACAGCTGTCTCCTTAATCTTAGCAACGTAGACAGACCCTGATGCACCCTGTCCGATCTTCTTCTGCTTGGAATAGGAAATGTTTGGGTCGTCCTTCGAAACGGCTTCCTTAAGCTTGGCCATAACCTCACTTTCGGACATAGTAGACATTCTGACATCCTGCTTACGCTCCGAAGGCGATGGCTTGGCAGTTAGAGC